GGCGATAGACATCTTGTGGAAAATTATCGACCTATCACTAAACTTTGTATTTTCTCAAAAATTTTTGAAAAGCTGATTTATGATGCTATCTTAAACATTACTACAAAAAATATCATTACGGAAACCAGCATGGATTTTTCCCTAAAAGATCTGTAGAGACGAATTTGATGAGTTTTACAGAATATGCCTCTCACGCAATAGATGAGAAACTGTAGGTGGACGTTATTTCTACAGACTTCAGTAAGGCTTTCGACAAGATTGATCATTCTATCTTGATGGAGAGACTTGCTGAGGTGGGTGTAGATGGTCGAATTATGGCAGTGACTAGCATGGTATATAAGTAATCGTAAACAAGTGGTGACTATCAATGGGCATCGTTCGGAGACATTTTTAGTAACCTCAGGCGAACCACAAGGTAGTCACTTAGGACCATTGTTATTTAACCTATACATGAACAACCTTACTTCTGTTTTTCATTTCGGTAAATATTTGTTATTTGCTGATGATCTAAAGATATTTACTATTGTTAGAAATGTAAATGACGGTGTAAAACTTCAAAGCGATTTGGAATATCTGCAAAAGTATTGCACTGAAAACAGTATCTTCCTGAATTTAACAAAATGTCATTACATGAGGCTTACTAGAAACATAGCGAACACTATAGATTTCAGATATAAGATAGGGACGGCAGAACTGAAAAAGCTTCATGTAGTAAAAGACCTAGAGGTATACATTGATGAGAAACTCTCATTCGTCACTCACGTAGAGCACATCGTAAATGATGCAAATAGAACACTAGGCTTCATAAACAGGACATGCAGAGAATTTACGAACCCAAAAACGCTTCTTTCATTGTACTACGCTTATGTACACAACAAATTGATGTTTGCATCAGTACTATGGATTCCGTCTTACAATGTACATATAGCCAGGATAGAAAGAACTTAACACAAATTTTTGAAGATATTAGCACATAAAACTCACCAACCTGTTACAGATCATCATTATACGCAAATTATGAAACAGTTCAATATGATTTCCTTAAAAGATAGAAGAACGATTTCTGAGATTTGCTGTGTTCATAAATTGTTGAATGGCCTCACTGACTGTCCGGATCTTTTGGCAAACTTGAACTTTAACACTCCTGATATAATGTTTAGAACCTATCATCTGTTTAGAATACCGTTCCGTAGAACTAATCTTGGGCTTAATTCCCCTTTGATCAGGGCTCAAAAAAATCATAATAATTTCTGTAATATAGATTTATTTAACATTAGCTTGACCTGCCTGAAAAAGGCTTTAAAGTATGAGTATTACAGCTGTATGGCAAACTAAAATAGAAATGTTTTGTTTCGTTTACATAACTCAAGTTATCACCTCCAATATCATTTCTGGTATAATTTCAATTTAATTTTGATTTCAGTTTTAATCAAACGTAAGCAAATGTTAAATTATGTCCTTTTATTAAAAATGTTAAATTAATAGTTTATTGCTTATAATTAGAACTACTCACTCAGTTTATGTTGTTACAACAATATCGGAAAATAAAAAAAATATTAATATTAAAGTATTCAATAATGTAATATATGTATATGTAAACGATATTTTATGTAAGTTTAGTTTTAGTTCACTGGTGTGTGTTGGGTTTACCTGTTAAATCCCCAAACTGTATATAAATAAATAAATAAAATTCGATTTAAGCCTTGATGATTTGAATCATCCGATACCTTGACCTTATATTCGTCTCCATGAAGTATCATTTCAGTACCATAGTTTATAAAATAAGTAGTTTTCCCAGTGACCTCATAAACGGCAGTGTTAACGGCGCACTCAAAGGATTGTAATTTTTCGTCCCATATACGATGGTTATCTTTCACAAAAGCTTGCAACATTGTCTTTAGAATGCGGTTTACTCGTTCAGTTAAATTTGGAGAAGGATGATAATTGGGATTGTATAAAATTTTAACGCCATATTTATTTACAAGATTTTCAAATAATTTACTCTTAAATTGCATGCCATTATCACATCGAATGATTTCTGGTACACTACGGGTTAGAAATATTTTTTCCTTAACCGATTTAACCACAGAATTACGGTTGCACGCCTAATTTTGAAGAAATGATTGAACTTGCTGAAAGTGACTGTGACAACAAATATGTGCAGATTCCCATGTTTACTCTTCGGAAGCGGCCGAAACAAATACATACTAACCATTTGCCAGCAACGCTTCTCAAGGACTGAACCACCCATAAGACCCGCAGGTGCCTTCTGTTCAGGTTTGACCCTCTGACAAACATTCTCTAACAAATTTGGTGATATCAGCTCTCATAAAAGGCCAATAGTACAATCTAAAAACTCTACAAAATATTTGTTGAACACCAAACGCCCTGCTGTTTCTTCAAAGTGACAAGATTTCATAACTGTTCGCCTTGTTTCTTTGGGAACTACCAATTTCCAATCCTGTCGTAATTCAGAGAAGTTCTGTTTGACATATTTATAAATTTTGTAGTCACATACATGCCACAATGGAAAGTCAAGTGGATTTTTCAGAATTTTGTCCCTCAGTCGAATACACCAACCATCTTCAATATTTCCAACCTCGATCGAAATGTTAGAAAGATTTAAGGCTTCAATGGAATGCACGAGAAAGTGTCTGTCTGGTACATGTTCACGAAAATTGCAACAGTCTTAAAACCCATCTGCCAAGTCGTCCTTGTGGATTTTTCAAATTGTGAAGCCACTGCAAAGAATGGTGATCAGTGGCTACTGAGAACTTGGCACCTTCAAGATAACAACGGATAGCGAATAGGACTGCAAGCAATTCTTGCTCAGTGGCTGAATATACTCTTTCTTGTCGAGTCAAGTACGAGACACATAACAAATGACATGTTCCCTGCCATCATAAAATTGAGACAGCACAGCTCCAACTCTATAAACACTTGCATCCGTTTGCAAAATAAATCCATGCTTAAAATCCGGACAAGTCAAAATTCTAGCAGAAATGAGAGCTTTCTTAATTAGCTTAAAAGCATTTTAGCAAGATTCATCCCATTCAAACTTAACCCCCTTTCGAAGAAGTTTAGTTAAAGGTGGCAAACATCTGAAAAACTAGGCATAAACTTACCATACCAGGAAACCACGCCTATTATTCTGCGAACTTCTCTCATACTTTTAGGAACAGTCAAGCCTCTACTTTCTGAGGATCGACGGATATACCAGGTCGATTTACCAAATAATAACCAATGTATCGCAACTCTGAACGACAAAATCTACTCTTTCCTCGGTGAAAACTAAGACCAGCTTTCTCTAACCTATCAAAAACATCCTGCAAAACCAGCATATGAGTGTCGAAATCGGGTGCTATACAAATTATATCGTCTAAATAACAGAAAACATAAGGACTTAATTCTAGGCCCAAAACAGTATCGATGAGACGTTGGGAGGTTGCAGTTGCGTTGTGAAGACCAAAAGGTAAACGAGTAAACTGGAATAAGCCCCATCCAGGAACGGTACAAGCTGTATATTGATTACTAGACTCCTCAAGTTCAACTTGCCAGTAGGTATTCTTCATATCTAATGAACTAAGGTTCGTGCAGTATTCGAAAGTCGACCACAGATCTAAATTCACCTTCCTTCTTTGGCACCAATAACAGGAGAAGACCACGGAGAGTTAGATGGCTCAATAATGCCGTCTGCTAACATTTTGTCAAATTATTCGTCAATGATTTTTTGTTTGAATGGTGAAACCGGATAGTAACTTTGTTTAACGGGTTCACTAAACGTAATGATCTTACGTTTCACCATGGACGTACGATAAAGAAAAACACCTATCCAAACGTTTATTCCTGGAAATGTCCCATATTTTCATAAATGACAATTGTATGAATAAAAAGACAGATGTTAAGCAACTGAGCGTCATTCACTCATATTTGCTAAACTGCGAAAAGTTGGAGCAAGTACATATCTCTCCAAATTTCGACTTTTCACAACCATAAATGGAATCTGTTTTTTTGGTTGATTCCACCCTTTCCCTCCAAAATTTCCATTCCATTCAAATTTGAATTGATTTTTTCTCATAATAAAATAATAATTGTTTAATTAAATTGCCCATCTAATCAACAATATAGTTTGTTCAACTGACTCTGGTCTGTTGACAAGTTCTTATTTAACATATCTTGATAAATAACACCATCTGAAGTGATTTGGAAACATAGTACACACATTACAAAAAATGTTCGTTCCATCCATCGACACTGACACCACCAACCTTCTGTCACCTGTCAAATGTTTCATCCTACTTGTGATCCTGTGCCCACCATTTTGTGCAGCATCAGGTGGTTCACGATGTAATTTTAACTTTCATTTTAAATATTTTTAATCCGTTTTAATTTGTTCCTGACATACAACTGTGTGTAGTTTATATTAATTTTGATGAATGTACCATGTATCCAGCATTCACCAGGTTACTGGTTGTTTCCCTCAACCTAAACGTTAATAACATTTAGCAACAATCTCACATACGACTGTAAGTTAATTTAAAATCATTTTGCATAATAGTTGCTATTTCTTCTCAATGTTATTGCAGCTCCTGATGAAGATGGCAAAATCCATTGAAAGCTAGGTATTAATAAAGTATAAAGAGTCCTCGTAGCTTAAATTTTGTCGAAGTACCCAACAAAAGGCAGAAGCTTTATTTTTCACCTAACTGGTCTAAACGACAATGACCACGTCTCAAGTTATATATATATATATATATATATATTCTTTAGACCAATATCTTTTATTGTTTCCGTTGAAAACGCTTAAATTTGTAAAGCCTTCCGTCTGTATGAAGAATTTTATCAGGAAAAGTGTTTTCTTGGTATTTTTGTAAAAACCAGTTGCAATTTTCAGGCCTTTGTTCATAGTCATACGTAAAATTCTCCACACGGAATTTTTTGATATTTGACACTCGGCAGCAATTTCTCTAGCTGAAGCATTTATATGAATCTCTACATACGTCAAAACATCGATTTCTTTGCCCTCGTTCACAATAAAATTATCATTTTCTGCCACTTCATTGGGCTCATTTAGCATTTTCAAAACTAATATTGGGAAGTAATGCCGCGTTGGATGACGGCGCTCGGGGAATCTTTCTGCATAAATTCTAGCAGCTTGTACGGCATCCTGCATTCTCCAAAAATAAGAAGCATTTCAACTTGTTCGCTTCTTGTATAATTCTGCATGATTAATTATTAAACTAGGAAAAACAGGCAGAATAATGTATTAATTTCTTAATAATTTATTTCGGAATCTGACAGATTCATGACAACAATCGATCATTGTTTTTCCTAGTTTTCTGTCAACGCTGCCGATGCCGGCTACGGCTGGTTGATCCTGTTATGGCAAAATGAATAATAAGGTAATTAATATGGATTTTTTTGAAATACATTTAACTAAAATATCATTTGTGTGGCATCAAATTGTGGGTAAAAATACTCTTTTCAGCTGTGATAGTGAGCCACCCTCGGTTCATTTGATAAAATTAACTTACAACCATAAATACGATTTTGCAAACCTTAAACGAGTCCAAAGAGGCTATAAACAACAGAAGATAATCAAAACTATTTTTCAGCGGTTGCTTAGTCCAAAATTTACCATTTTATCATATTCATGGCACACTGGATTGACAATTAAGAATTACAAATATTTATGAGTTAGATGTCAAACGGTAGCAAATGCATCGTCATTGTACTCGGAATGTCATATTCTATTCAAATAATCAAACATACACCAGGTGACCCATTTAAACTAACAAACAAACTCAGTTCCGGCTAAACCGGAAGTTTAAGTAAGCAATTGAATATGTCACACAGTGTATATTTATGTGATATTTAATTTCATTTTTCTATCTTTAAAAATAAAAAAGTTATAGGGGTGAGCCACCTGCTAGGGACACCCGGTATATTGGGTAATCGTCATTAAATTTGCCGAATTGGATCTAACTTTGATGAAACCATGCTGTGATGCTGTAATTAGGCTTTTAACGTTCTCAAAGATACAAGAGTAAATGACCATTTCAAAAGCCTTTGCAAAGTTATTCAAAATGCTTAATACCTCTATAGTTGAGTACATTAGATTTATCACCATCTTTCAGGACCGGATACACCTTTGCTATCCTCCAAACATCAGGGAAAATTCCAGTTTTCAACATAGTGTCGTAAATTATCAACATCGGCTTGACTAAAATATGAGCACAAAACTAGATATTTGATCTCTACCTAACGTAAGTTTATTTTGAAGATTAGAGAGAAACTTCAGTAAATCAGCTTCCGTTAATTCTTTTAGATAAATACATGGTGTTGAGGTGACACTATCTAAAGAAGAGGTAATATTTTAAGGAGTAACATACACGCTCTTAAAATAGTAGGCAAATGCATCAATAACACCTTGTGGTGTATGAAATACGTTGCCGTTAAACTGGACTTGGGCTGGTATTCTGTACGATCAGATGACAGGTACTCACTATAAGCAACTCTAATTTGCCCCTTTACGGTTCTGCGTAATCTAGAAAATTCATTGTAAGTAGATATTACTGGTCTTATATTTTCCTTCAAATTTATGTTACTCAAAATTTCTCCACTATACCAAGAATGATGCTTGAATTTGCGGGTATTAGTACATTTAGGAACATAAGTATCAAATATTGAAAAAATGTATCGTGACATCTGTAATGTTACGTAAAAACGACTAGTCAATATAACTCAAAGAATTATACAGGCCAACACAGGATGCCTTCTTGAAGTTATATAACAATGATGTAGGATCAGTATTTGGGGCAAGTTAAAGCTACTAGACGGCTGTATAGTGAATATGATACTTAAATGTGAATGGTGAGGACTGAGGATCTACCTGGTTAACAATACAAGTAGCATCCCTTGAAATAATACATGGTACATTTTCCGTGCTTATCACTAAGTACAGTAATTGCCCCAAGCATTTATTACTAGGTTATATCTAAAAAGATCCAAAAAATTAGATAGCGTTGTATAACGAAAATTTGCATAGAGACTAAATACGAAACCGGGGGCATTAAAGCCGCCTAGTATCAAGACGTTGGGCTGGTTGATTATTAACGTACTCATGTGTGACAAAAATTTTGCGTAAATGTCATTAGAAGTGTCTGGTGGGATATAAATAACATAAACAAACAGAGTGAGTAGTAATGAGTAGTAATCGCAACTAAATCAATGGAAGGATAATCAGCAGAAAAATATATAGGGATACGGTCCATCATAAAACTCATTTTACATGTCAGCAATACGCCTCCCCCCAACCCCCAGACAATTTATTTGACCTTGCAAAATCACGATCACGAAAAACACTGTCATTCCCTGGAAAAATTTCAGAGTCACATACTTGGTCACACAGCCAAGTTTCTGTCAAACCAATTAGGTTTGTTCAGAATGTCGACATATGCTACATTTCACAAATTCAATCATATTAACCGAAACCTCTCTTCCAGATAGAGCAGATAACTGCATAGAACCGATACTCCATGATACTGTCTTAAACGTTCTATATCTTAGGACCCGTTAAGGTTTTGGAGTCTGTGCCCTTTGAGACATTTGTTCAGGATGTCGAGATACATGATATTTCACAAATTCAGTCATATTACCCACAACCACAATTCCTGATAGAGCAGATAGCTGAGTAAAACCCCATTATACTGACTTGGACGAATTATACCTTGAAACCCGTTTTGGGGTGGTGTCTTCTGAGACAGTTGTTCAGGATGCTAAGAAACATGAGATTTCACAAACTTAGTCAAATTAACCAAAAACGCTCTTTTAGATAGAGATAAACCGACACCCCATTATAGTGACTTGGACGTCCTATATACTTCTCCCATAGGAGCATCGTTTGGTCCTTCGTATACAACTGGCAACCTGGAAAAATTGATGATGCGTTGATGGTCATAACCTGCAATGCGTACATCTCACAAGCGTCGGGCCGCCGAATGCTTAGCTAGCCATGGTAAGGAAATGAGTAGTGTAGATGTGACAACCTCTATTGGCATTTGCCATAACCTCGTTTGCAGAATACAAATTTAATATCAAATTTCATATCCTGTGAGTGGTAAAAAAGTTGTGCCTATTGAAATAGGGGAACTGTGTTTGTCCGAGAACTAGTGTCAACTCACTTGCTCTCTCCAGTCGATTCATTACTCCACTCGTTCCTTTTATGGCTCTGCTCCGTAACGCATCCCTTGAATGTATGGTCTTCGGACAAGTTCGAATTATTGGAAGAAGCATAGTTGGTTGAGCTGGGATTGAGTAACATTTGCAAACCATTAAGTGGTTCGTTGGAATGGAGGTCCAGGTGATCCATGCTCTTATAGGCGATGTTTTGGTTTACGTTTAGAACGTCCGGTGGAGGTATATCCTCTTGTCTATAAAACAAAATATGGAGGAATTTAGTATAATTTCAAATAAGAAATGGAAGTAAGCTAAGGTGAGATGAACTAATTAATCATTCACGGCGAAACAAAACTGTGTTAATAATATTTTCTTAACATATGCACATTAGGTGATTTACATCCACTAACAAACATCATTATACTACAAAAGTGTAGGTTGGCTCTTGATGGTGAGTTCGTGTGTATTTTTTCTTTCTCCATCTGTGTTTCCTCAGATTACACCCGTGTCTGGATGTATGGGCATGTGTATCTACTTTTGTAGTTGCATATGTGCATTCATTTCGGGCCTGATGAAGCCAACAAGCAGAAATACGTATCGATCGGGTTACCCATCCTATTTTCTGCACGAAACAACTTTCCTTCTTTTTGCGGATTTTGCCCATTATTTTTCGATTTCTTATATACCTTTCTCCGCATGATCTTTCTCTCTTCCTCTAAAGCTGTCCCAATTTAACCTTTGCTGTAGGTCTAACAGGAGCTGAGGTACCTGTATAGAGAAGCGAATCTAGGACACACACTATATATATATATATATATAGAGAGAGAGAGAGAGAGTGAGAAAAAATGATCATGCGGAGAAAGCTATATAATAAAAAGTAGGAAAATAATGGGCAAAATCCGTAAAATGAATGAATGAATCTTGAAATTAGAGGCATTCCGGCCACCATAAGGAGCCAGTGCATAGGCCGCTTAAGCGGGCCCTTATGCACCTCTACAATCCTTAGATCACAAGCCTCGCCCTTTTAGCGAAGTTGAGAATCGCCTTGAGTCCAAGCTCCTTGACGTCCTGAAGGTCCAAAGTAATGGACCCCAGTATAGTCTGCCTATAGTAGCTCAGAGCTACACAGCGACACAAAACGTGCGCCGAGGTCTCTTCCTCTACTCCGCAGCGTTCACACAAGGGATCCTCAGCCACCCCCATCACGTGCAGGTGACGCCTTAACGTGTTATGGCCAGACAACAGTCCCACCAGCAACCTTAGGTTGGCTCTATCCAGAGATAGGCAGAAGCGTCCATCCTTAGCACTGGGCCCTTCAATGAGTTCCCGTGCCTGGCGGAGATGTCTGGAGATACTTCTCCATTTCTGAGAGTGTTGTCTTGCAATCCACGTCTCCATTTTCCTCCTAGCTTTATGCGCGGTCACTCCTAGAGCTGGCTCAGGACCAACGAGCTTGCTGGCTGATCCTGTCTTCGCCAGAGTGTCCGCCGTCTCATTGCCCCTTATCCCAGCGTGCCCCGGTACCCATATTAACGATACGGAATGCCTCGCTGCGAGGCAATCCAGAGCCTCCCTGCATTGCAATACAAGACTCGAAGTAATCTTACAGGCACTTAGTGCTTTCATTGCAGGCTGGCTGTCGGATAAGATTGTTATTCTTCTCCTAGGCCCACCCTCCTCCAGAATGTGAGATACACAAGCCAGAATCGCAAAGATTTATCCCTGGAAAATAGTGGTGTATCCACCGAGAGGCAGAGATAGCCTAGTTCTAGGCCCAGAGACCCCAGCACCTCAGCCCTCTTCGGTGACCGAGCCGTCCGTGTACCAGACCTGCCCGCTCACTCCGGAGAGTCCCCGGCTACCAGCGTCCCACTCCTCCCTCGTGGGATACTCCACAATAAACTTGCGGTTGAAGCGATCACTCCCTTTGTAATTCGACTAAGATGGCAGTATGCCCCTTGACAGGATTCAAGAAAGCCCAGCTGCCCTGACTCCACAGTCGATGAGCGACTACTCTCGCTTCACCGCGGATTACCAGATCCAACGGTGGGAGATCCAACAGAGCTTCCATTGCACTCAATGGCGTTGTTCGCACTGCGCTTGTCATACTAATACAGGCCAAACGCTGAATTTTATTGAGTTTAGCCTTAGTTGTCTCAGTTCTAATGCAAGGCCACCAGACCAGGGAGCCGTACAAGAAAGATGGACGTACTATCGTCGTGTAGAGCCAGTATACCACTTTCGGTTTAAGCCCCCACCTTACCCCGACAACACGTCTACAAGCCCACATCGAATTGCGAGCCTTGCTAACCTTGTATTCAACATGCTAAAATCCGCAAAAAGGAGGAAAGTGGATTTGAGCAGAAAATAGGATAGGTAACCCGAGCGAAACGTATTTCTGCTGGTTGGCTTCATCAGGCCCGAAATAAATGCACATATGCAACTACAAAAGTAGAGACACATGCCCACACATTTGGATACGGGTGTGACCTGAGGAAACAAAGATGGAGAGAAAAAAAGACACGAAGTCCACAACAAGAGCCAACCATTGTAGTATAAAATGGCTAGAAGACCTCGAAGTTTCAAGGAGACATCTAACCACAACCACGCGGCCGGTTATAGCCACTTCTGTGGTACTTCAAACCCAAAGGATCGACAAAGAAAAAATGATCATGCGGAGAAAGGTATATAACAAAAATTAAGAAAACAATGCGCAAAATGCGCAGAAAGGAGGAAAGTGGATTCGAGGAGAAAATAGGATAGGTAACCCGAGCGATACGTATTTCAGCTGCTTGGCTTCACCAGATGTCTCCTTGGAAATTCGAGGTCTTCTAGCCATTTTATACAACAATGTGTAGGTTGGCTCTTTTTGTGGACTTTGTGTGTCGTTTTTCTTTTCCTCTCCATCTTCGTTTCCTCAGGTCACACCCGTATCCAAATGTGTGGGCATGTGTATCTACTTTTTTAGTTGCATATGTGCATTCATTTCTGGCCTGATGAAGCCAACCAGCAGAAATACGAATCGCTCGGGTTACCTATGCTATTTTCTGTTCCAATCCACTTTCCTCCTTTTTGCGGATTTTGCTCATTTTTTTCATACTTTTTGTTATATTCCTTTCTCCGCGTGATCATTTTCTCTTTGTAGATTCTTTGGGCTTGAAGTACCACAGCAAGTGGCTATAACCGGCTGCGTGGTTGTATTTAGATATCTCCTGAAAATTCGAGGTTTTCTAGCCATTTTATACTACAATGTGTAGGTTGGCTCTTGTTGTGGACTTATGTGTCGTTTTTCTTTTCCTCTTCATCTTCGTTTCCTCAGGTTACACCCGTATCCGGATGTGTGGGTATGTGTATCTACTTTTTTAGTTGCATATGTGCATTCATTTCGGGCCTGATGAAGCCAACCAGAAGAAATACGTATCGCTCGTGTTACCTATTCTATTTTCTGCTCGAATCCACTTTCCTCCTTTTTGCGGATTTTGCCCATTATTTTCCTACTTTTTGTTATATACCTTTCTCCGCATAATCACTTTCTCTTTATATATATGTACGTTTCCCTCATGCTATACGAAAACAACAATTAGCAACCTCCTCACATACTACTGTAAGTTGATTCAATTTAAATTCATTTTACACTTTTGTTGCTACTGTTATCATTGTAATTGCAGCCCCTGATGATGATGGCAAAGTCCATTGAAAGCTAGAGAGAATTAAAAAAAGTATAAAGAGTCCTATTTGCTTAAATTTTGTCGAAGTACCCAACAAAAAGCGGAAGCTTTAATTTTCCACCTAACTGGTCTAGACGACAATGACCACGTCTCAAGTTATATGTGTATATATATATATATGTTGCCCATTATTTTCCTATTTATATATATATATATATATATATATATATATATATATAAATGGAAGACTTTTCTTTGAGATATCGACAAATTATGTTGAGTGTACCCTTTTGACTTACAATACTCAAGCTTTCGACAGGCTATGCTGCCATCATCAGGACCTAAAAAACAAATTAGAACTAGTAAAATAGCAACCATGCTCAATTGCTTAGAAATCTTTTTACTTAAGCCATCAGTGAGAATGTTGCTAGTATTTGATGTTAAAAAATGTAAGAGGACACATGGTAAGCTGATCAAAAACTGGATCTACGTCAAAAAACGATGCAACAACATGACTGTGTTTTACTACTCCACTGCAGAAGGATTTGGACAACTAACATAATTAAATAATAATAAATGTTCATTAAACTTGTCAAATTTATATTTTGTAATAACCTAAAAATACTAGCGTGGTCGAGAGGTTAGCATTTGTGTGTGGAGTTGGTATTATTTGCATTCAGGCAGCTGTAGGAAGAAACTGTTTTTTTGTTCAAAAAACAAAATGTGTGTGATACATTAAGAGTAACGGTAGTTTTAGTACAAAACGTAATAGAGAAATTTCATAATATATTGTATTTTTTTTTAAATATATTGTTGATGTAAAATTACGAGTCACCACTTGGCAAAATTGGTTGACGTAAGCAAAGACCTGTCCTGGTGAGAAAGGGGAAGAAACGTATTATTTTATCTGTTATTGCGACAAATCAATATTGCAAGAAATGTGTAATCGTTACAATTTTTCGGAATTTAGCAAATATGAGTAGATAACATCACTAAGTTGCTTGACATCGGCCTTTTTGTTCATACAACCGTCAGTCATGAAAATGTGTGACATTTCGAAGAACAAACGTTAAGAGAGATGTTCTTCTCTGTCAAGGACCCTGATACTGTTGTAGCACATCGAGTGCCCTGTCGTGTTTACAGGTGAAGCCAAAGCACATCTTTCTGGATGCAATCTGGAGTCACTCCTGTGAGATGTTATTCTGCACTTTAGTTATCTAGAGGTTTGATCTATTTATATCAAACTGCAACTCTATCTTTCATTTTGGAAAACACATTATTGATTGTTAGAACAGATTTACGGGCAATACGACAATTTAAAGTGCTACATAGTCTGGCCAGTTTTGGAGTTAAATCTTGAATGCATGGCAATGTTACAAAACTAATTCTGGGATTTGATGGTGTATTGGTATTATTATTATTGTGAGAATTGTTTGTTATGTTGTTGGAAGGGGTGAAATTATTATTATCATTGTTTGGATTTGGCAATATACTAGAAGGAGAGCTGAACAAGATTATGTTAATCAAATACATTGGATAACCATTGTTCATGAAAAGTGTTGAGAATTTTCCTAAATTCGAGGTGTGGAAAGTATTGTCAGGGATGCCAGTTACCCCTTTTTCAATTGTTTCACCAAATTCACCTTTATTTTTATGTTATGGTAAGACCAGAAATTTAGAAACCTTCCTGAGGATATTGATTTCATGTACCAGACTACCAATAAGATGCTATTGTTTCGCATGATTCTTGAGTCCAAAAATGGGACTGATGGATTTTCATCTTCTTTTTCAATGGTGAATTGAATGCAGGAGTCATAGCTATTGAAGTCTTCAACAGTACTATCTACTCCTTGTGACGGAAGACAGACAATAATGTCGTCTATATACTTCTTTATGAAACATAGGTTGTAAGGTAAAAATTGAATAACAATATCAAGCACGCCATCCATCACTTATTATGCCAAAATTGGTGATATTACTGAGCCCATTGGGCAACCGTATGTTTGTGAAAATACTTTATTACTGAATGTAAAATAATTGCCATGTAAAAGGTATTCTACAATGGAGATAAATGAATCCAGAGAGATTATCTATATATTATATTTGATCGCAGTGTTTATTGATGGATCTAATGCAAGCATCTAGGTAAACATTACTGAAAAGTGAAACTGCGTCAAGGCTGGCAATAACGTGAACAGGTGGTATTTGTAGCTTATTAAACTGTTGGAATACATCGAAAGAGTCTTTAATGTAGTATTCGCGTTTAACATGGGCTGATTTTGAAATATCCAAGATCAATGAGGATAGAGCTTGCGTGGCTAAACCAACTGAAGCTACTATAGGTCTTATCGATAGAACCGGTTTATGTATCTTAGGAAGAGCATAACATTTTGGGGAAACATAATTATAAGTGGTTAAAGATTTTGCCAACAAAATAATTAAAACATTTTCCTACTCTTGGAATAGGGTATCTATTGAGTTCAGTGTAGGAAGGATCATTTTCAATTAAGCTATTACATAGATCAAAATATTGTTGCCTTAATATTATCAATGTGACATAGCCTTTGTCAGATCTTGTGACAATTAGATCAGGATATTATGTGAGGTATTTTATCGTTTTGTTTAAAAAATTGTGATAAAAAGAGTGTTTTTGTTGACATTATTAGAGTGATAGTAATTAGTGATAATGTTAGTGGAACGAGTTGTGAAAATATTTCTGTCTGTATCATTGTTGATGGAAGAGACCATTACGGTTAAACGTATTTTTTTGACTATATTCTTGATGTAAAATTAAGAGTCACCACATGGCAAAATTGACTGAAGTTGTTTCATTTATTTGTGTGTGTTTGTTCTTAGAAATGTCACACATTTTAATGACTGAGAGTTGTATGAACAAAAAGGCTGATGTCAAGCAACTTAGTGTTAACTACTCATACTTGCTAAATTGCGAACAAATGGAATGATTACACATATGCCCCAATATTATTTGTCACAATAACAGACATAACAATGTCAATAGGTAAAATCAACAGATTGCTTAAGAAAATAATATTTTTCTCTCCTTTTCTCGCCAGGACAGGTCTTTGACAACATCAACCAATTTTGCCAAGTGGTGACTCTTAATTTTACATCAAAAATATAGTGAATAAAATTTTCACAATAAACTTCTCTATTACCTTTTGTAATTACACTAACGCTCCTCTCAATGCATGGCACATGTTTTGTTTTATATTGGTAACAGACTAAACAGAAAAACCGGTTTCCCCAACAGCTATACCCTATTTCACGAGTATCCATCACGCTTTGACGTCTACTGATGTGAACAGCTGATCAGCAAGTGACATTTTTGTGTTAGTATACAACGTTGGTTATAATGAATCGAGTGTAAATCTAACAAAAAAATATTTGTAGCGTTTTGTTTGTTGTGTGCAAATGAACTTTTCTAAATAAAAGAGCTTTTAGCAAGTACAAAATGAATCAGAAGCGTAGAAAAAACCAAAGCAAAATATGGCTCCGTCTACCTGCCATTGACGGATTAGTCAGAATTACCAGTTGTTATTCTACTGATGGATACTCATGAAATAGGGTATACTTGAATGCAAACAGTACCAACTTCACCCATAAATTCTAACCTCTCGACCACGTTAACATTTTGAGGTTATTTCTAAGATTTGATTTTGAGAAGTTTTTAGATATTTTTTAACTAACGTTTGTCAAAATCCGTCTGTATTATATCAGTAAAACATAGCCATGTTTTGCATCGTTTTTCAACGTAAATCCAGTTATTGATCACCTTACCATGTGTTCTCTTTTGCATTTTATAATATCAAGTACTAGCACCATTTTTACTGCCAGAGTAGGTAAAAAGATTTCTAATCAACTGAACATGGTTGCTTTTTACTATTTTTGATTGGTTTTTAGCTCCTGATGATGAAAGCATAGTCTGTCGAAAGCTTGAGTATTGTAAGTCAAAAGGGTACACTTAGCATAATTTGTCGATATCCCCAAAGACAAGTCTTCCATATATATTTGAAATTGGTAGGGTCGCCACAATGCCGTCACAAAAAAATAGTAGCTACATTCGAATATGGGTGCATTTTGGACAAAAATGCGAGCAATGAGATTAAAGAACAATGAAATACTAAAATAAAAAGAAAGCGTATAAAATAAATATGTTCTGAAATATTTGAATGTAAAACTAAAAAAAAATTGACTTACTTCCAGAGACGAAGCGCCTGCTTAAACACACTCATCCTTTCATTAAAAACGAGAAATTACCTTTTCCGTTGTGGAGTATTTTCCTGTGAGGTACTAGTAGAATCCTGATCTGAATTGCATTTAGAGAATGAGATAAGAGAGAAAGGGTTAGTTCTTTCATTTGCGTTTGACCTGTCATTCACTGATGGAGAAGCCTGCGGCACTTCACAGTTTTTGGTTGATAAGAGGTTTTGTCGAGAATAACTGTAAAAATACAAAATTAACAGTCAAACTTGAATAAAGTTAGCGAACATACAATGGACTCTGTTAATAAATACACTATTACCTGCCTAATGAGAGAATGCAACACAGAGGAACGCGGGCGGAAAGAAACGAGGTCACACATTTTGCATGAAATATAGTTCTTATTTATCGAACGTATTGCCTGAATGCATGAAAAGCATTCTCTAAGCGATATATACTTATTGCATGACTTTTTGTTTTAATCAATAGCTATGAACATACTGAAAGTCTCAAACAAGGTTTCAAGCGGCAGCGCTGTACTCCAACCGGTACCTGGCTGGTTAATGTCAATTCAAGGGCTATTATTGGGTGGTATGAAATACCTTATAAATTATCATAAACCTAGGAAAATTATCTGATAGCGACGGCAGTTTCTCAAAAGATACCTATAGTCCGGGAGGTGGTGTCAAAAATCGGTTGATTATTTGGATAGTTACGAAATTTGGTTGATGGCTAGTTTAAAATTAGTACTGTTCACAGCCCCGGTCAGCTGCGCGAAAGTGGAGACCTTAGATTGTGGGTGGACGATGAACATGTAAACAAAATAGCACATGTCCGTATCAAGCGGACAGAACTATAACTTTTCATTTGAGTTGTGTGATTATAGCTTGTTATAAAAATATTGAGTCAGCTGCATGGTGGAGGGGGGAGCGGCGTTCAGCTGCATGTAAACATGTATATATTACGAATATGACTGAGTTATTCGGTTAGTGCTGAAAATTTGTGTAAACATTATTTGGGATATAAGATTAACATAACATATAGTCAGCTCTCATGAAATGGGTGGGGACACCAGTCAGCTGGGCTTCCAAGCGAAGCGCTCAGACCACGTGCGCTGAATAAAATTATAAGCTGATCGATTTTTCCACCCACTCATTGCCAGCTGTCCATTGATTTTCTCTTCATCCATACCTATTAAATCCTGGGACCAATTTTCAGCACTATCCAATAAAAATTTAATACATAAATATGAATAATTTAGAGGAAGTCTTCGATTGAATAACTACACTGATGCAGTAAAAAAGAAATTTTATTTACAATAAACAGATACAAATCAAGTTTATGACAAAAATTATAAAAAAGTAAATAATAGCTTCATTTATTCATTTTATGTTTCTGACGAATTGGTTTCTTCCATGCAGTCTGATTCTGATTCGTCGTCTTCAGAACTATAATCAGAGTATTCTTCAACTCAATCATCAACTGGTTCATTCAATGACTCTAGATCATCTGCAAATATAATTTTAATTACTGATACTGAAAAATAATCGTAATGTATAGAGAATATAACGAAATAAAGGATGTGAACTACCTTCAGTGATATCTGTGATGTTCTCTATATGCGGCAATTGCTCTCCTTCAAACCAATTGAAGATATATTTATTGTCGTCTTCCTTCCATCCATAGGCAAGTGGAGAAGAGATACTGGGTATGGCCATGTAAGAGTTGACCTATGTATGATGTTCTCAGAAGGTGTTCATGTAATTCTCTTTTACAAGGTGGTAACATGGAACCTTCGAAATTATGATCGATTTTCAAAATTTCCTCGTTTCCACTAACTTTGTATGTTTTCATGAATGTCGCTACTCGAGCTGAATTGATATCATTGATTTTCTTGAATCCATAAATTCGACATACGTATTCCTCTATTATATGAGCATTTTCTTCTATATTCTCTGGCGAACATCTAATAGTGACTTGAGCATCAAAATCTAATTTGCAAATATGAAATATGATTTTTGTATCCGCTTCTTCGTGTGCAGGGCAAGACATATCATCTTCCTGTGTCCGTAAAACTTTATCGTCGATGACTTCGTAGTTGTAGCAATACTCGTAATTGATGTATAACGTCTTACCCCTTATATATGGCGCCATATCGTCTTGCTGCCAGTCATCGCAAATAAAATTCACTAGAGCTTCTTTAAAATTTATATTCTTAAGTTCATTCGCGAAATTGGCTGGACGCTTCTGCTCTGGTCCAGTAATATTGAAATTATTTCCATAATATCTTTCCCGTAGTAAATGTTCATTATCCTTTACAGACGGAGAGAAGTAACGGTCGAATGCGATAATAATAATTTTCGCCTTATTCCTCGTAAACGTGTGCAATATTTTCTTGGATATATTCCTGAACGTAACAGGTACATCTTTCATTTGATGAATGATGTAAAATCCATCGAAAACCATAACGTCAGAGCTATCGGAAGTATCTTTTTCTTTTCCAGACAGTGTTTCCAATACATGAAGCAGAACAGTTTTGCATCTAGGACCTTCCATATGACAGAGTGATAAAGGAACGTTAATGGATACGATAAAGTTACATCGATATTCAAACTTTTATCGAGTGATAGTCGAAGTAGTTTACCAAACAGATCGCGTTGCATTTTAACTTCAATAAGTTTTCCATTTACTTTCATTTTTTTCTTACTTATTGAGTCAACGAATGTAAGAATCTTATTTCTCTTTATCGCTTTCTCAAATTTTTGTGAGTCTTCTGAGCATTCTTTAATAAAATTTTCTCTCTGCTCATTACCTAAGTTTCGCACATTATGCAAAAAATTTGCGATATCCTCGTTAACAGCTTGACCAGTTGAAATATTATACAGCAAGTTGACATCCAGATCTTTCGAAAAAGGGTTCACATTCTGATCGATATGCGTAATCAGAGTTTCAAGCTGTGATCTATGTTTTTTAATCCTACTCTTTTGTAAATCTGCTGTTACGTCTTGCGCTTTTCTTAGTCCTGTTCGTTCTATTATATGTGTTATTATGGCTGATCTAATAGTATGTCTCTTACACCATCTTTGGCGAGCAGCGAGGGATCCAGTTAAATGACTTATTCCGGTTAACTTATTGGCAGCATCAGCATTAATCATTTGCTCGAGGGTCAAATCGACCGGTTATCTCGAAAAAGAGTTGCAAGTTCTTCTGATACCAAATGATCCTTGTTGTAGCTGATTTTCTAAACCAGGATGAGTTATCTCAACTTTCAGTAATTTCTCCTGATATAACACCAAATAACGAGCATAATTTTGTTGATTGAATGTGAAATAGATATTTCCAATAATGGGCAACATGTATCGAAGAATTTCTAAATTGAGTGATTTCTCTTGATATTTCTCGTACTCCTCGAACAATATCAATACGCTAGCGTCCGAAACATCTGGATTTCCTGATTTTTCTTTCGTAAAATCCAACAAATACTTTTTCATGTCATTTGTTACTTGTACATTGCATTTGTCAAGAAAAGAATGGAAATGCAAGATCTGAAGAGCTAATGATAACAGAGGATGCAATCGCTTACATCTGTTAAAATGTCTACCCGTTATAAAACTAGGAACAGAACCACTGGCTAGTATTTCAGCGTCCACCATTGCGTTAGTAATTCCGCAACTATCAATGAATTTACCAACAGCCTTAAAGTAAAACATACATATGTGAAACAAACCCACGTGGATAAATAGCGGATCAAATCTTGGCTTCTCCAGGCTTTGTATCTGCAAAGCTAGTTTCACGATTGCCAAATCATAAGTTATTTCCATATATTGCATACCACATTCTTGAGCTGCTTTTAACCCTAGTCTCATCGTCTCAACCACCACAGAATGATCTGTGGGAGAAGAATTTATCGTTGTTAGATAACATATTTTCTGCTGCGAGCTTGTATCATTCTAAATGAGACTGTTAAAACCAATCCAAGATGGTGTATTTGGAATGTGTAAAAAGTGGGATAGAACCCAAGAAAAGTCAAGCAGCTTCGTCGATTTCACGAAATTATCTGTACACACTCGTAATGGACTTTCAATTTTCTCTAGAGTTTCGTGATACCTTGGTCTCTTGTTGTATGGCTCAAGGTCGAATGCAATTGTATCCAAAGAGCGTGGTCTTTTTTTCGATGTGCTTGGTGGAATCGTTGAATTTTCTTCAGCAACTTGGGAGCATGAATCATCGTTGTCGCTATCAGTACCAACAATATCTTGAAAAATGATACCTACTGTATCATGAAGAGTGTCTTTCCCACTCATAGTATCCACAAACCTGTCGAAGTTATTGTATGCGAGTCCAGTTTTCAAATTTCAAACTCAGTTATTTGTTATTCTGCTCAACTACACTCATCATTTAATTACATGCATTTATATTTTAATTATCTCTCAATTAATTAAATAACAACAAAAACACACACGGTTACATATTTGAATCAACATATATAAATTAGATGCAGAAAAATAAGGGATTACAGTATCGTGTACTACAACTATACTAAGTGACATATAAATCCGAACACCCAGTTTAAATGGTTTTATTTTAATAAAAGTTGGTGAATGTATTTATCTTACTGTAAATAACAAGTGAAAAAATTTTCAGCCTTATCAGTTGGACATTCCGGTTTTTATACTGCTTTTTTGTAATTCACTAACGCTCTAAAAATGAATATTTCAGCCGCAGTAAAGAATGAACGTTGGCGGATTTTGGTTCTTGACATCCTTTACGATCGGTTACGATGCCTAGAGTACGGAGACCTGTACGATTTCGTCAACTTAGTGAGTTTGATAGGGGCCGTATACTGGGACTTCGGGAAGCTGGACTTTCTTTTCGGGCAATTGCAGTTAGAGTGCAAAGAAGTGTAGACACTGTGGTTAGGTGTTGTCAGGCATGGCTTCGAGAAGGCCGTACGCAAAGAGCAAGGGGCACTGGACGCCGCCGTAGAACAACAGACCGTGAAGATCGCGGCCTAAGATTATTGGCCTTAAGGGACCGTTTCTCCACTACCAGGTCCATTGCAAATGAATGGTTTGCAGAATACACGGAAGTGTTTACCGACGAATGAGAAGTTTTGGCTTGTTTTCATACCGGCCACACTGGATCCTCTCTTTAACTCGAGAACACCGACGTAATCGCCTTGAGTGGTGCAGACAACGGTCACTCTGGGATCAGGAATGGAACAGTATTGTCTTTAGTGACGAGTCTCGATTTTGTTTAGGCATGCACGATGGTCGTGCCAGGGTTAGAAGGCGACGTGGTGAAAGGAGGAATCCACAGTTTTTTGTTGAAAGACATGTTCATCACACTGTTGAAGTTATGGTTTGGGGTGCTATAGCTTATGGTTCCAGGTCACCTTTAATCTTCATCAGAGGTAACATGAACGCGCAGCGTTATATCCACGAAGTTCTAGAACCACATCTTTTACCCTATCTTGACACCCTGGCAGATCCAACTTTCCAACAAGATAATGCCCGACCACATGTTGCAAGAGTCACAATAGACTTCTTTCAATATAATGATGTCACATTGTTACCATGGCCACCAAGATCTCCCGACTTATCCCCAATTGAGCACGTGTGGGATATGATGGGTAGGAGATTGCTCAATTTGCAACGTCCTCCTCAGACTCTAGAAGCACTTCGAGAGGAGTTGGTGGTTGCCTGGAATGAGATACCACAGGAGGACATTGACCACCTGATCAGAAGCATGCCTAGGCGCGTTGGAGAATGCGTAGCACATCAGGGTGCATCCACACATTATTAAAGGTCAAAGGGCTTTAAAGTGCAATCATTTTGAAATGTTTATCATTTACTTATTATGCTTCATAAAGTACTTATACAAAATTTTATTAAAATAAAACCATTTGAACTGGGTGTTCGGATTTATATGCCACTTAGTATATATTGTCTACCCACATATCACCAGTCCCCTTTCCCTTCTGCCTTCGTTGCTTTCAAATTGAAAACACAAACTGTGCAGATGCTTCTCACGTACAATACCTTGAGCATTTCTAAAGATTTGATTCGAAAACGCACGATTATTTTAGATTAAAAGAAATTGCTACATAATGTACATATACAAGATTGAGTGTTACAATAAAGATTTGAAATCAATTACAATTAGTGTGATACTTTCATTTAATTGGAG